ACGATCGTGAAAAAATGTAGAATAAAATTCTAAATCGACAATAGATTTTTTTTTAATTTCACTATATTATTATTGAGATTTAAAAAAATGTTATTGTTAATTGAAAAAAGTTTTAACAGAATTATCTTAAAATGATCAGAAATCAACTTTAATATTACTTTAATTTTGAGGTATTTGTACTTAGGCATTACCGTAAAAACTAGTCTTTTTTATCTAACTCGTAAATATTTTTTTCTCATCAACTATATTTTGTTATTAAAATGTTTTTCATCTATTCATAACTAGTGTTACTTCATGTTACTCCATAAAGTTCAAGAGGTATAAGCATATTCATGTATAAATACTACGAACGTTTATCGAAACAATATATTATTGTAATAAATATCCGTGCATTTAAAAATCTAACCTTGTTCAAGTACATATCAAATTTAGTTTTTGGAATATTTCGTATTTCGAAAGCGATCTATATTTTTCATTACGAGCTGCTGTAAACAAACGGTTATGGCATATTACGACGGCGGCTGAGCCCACAGTGAGTCAAAGTGTATCTCTATTTAGTAAAATATTTACCCACCGGCGATTTTACCGTACCGATACGACCTAGGCAAGATGCCTAGGTCGTATCTTCAAGGAAAGAGCTTGCTCTTTTCTAAATGGCCGGCAACACAACTGCGATTCCCCTGGTGTAGCAGTTGTTCATGTTGATCATCAGCAGGTGGCGCTCACGGAGGGTTTACGGCCAGTGTACCTCTTTGCCTAAACAGAGTGACGTGCATTCACTGTATCGTTTGGTTTGGAACTGGATTAGTTTGTATTCTGTGTGGCGTTTACACGCATTTACATGCGCGACTTCAGTCGACGTTTGTTTTTACGCAGTATCAAAGGGCCATGCTCACTTTTACTGGTTCCCAGTTATTTTGCTGGGACTACAGCGTTTTATTCCAGGGGAGCGCAGTAAAATGGTTGCCTCCCCCACGTTTTTATAAATAAATGTGGGAGAGCGAAATCCTTGTATCGGGTATTTTGTATAAATATATTGTTAGCCTTTTCCAAGCGGGAAGGGATAATTAATAATAAATTAATAATGTATACCTCATACAAGTGGAATAGGGACGTTTTATATTCTTAACCTTTCTCGAGCCCTGTCTTCGTGAATGGGGTTCACTTAGCTTATAAGGCATTACCAACAGCTTTCAATTGCTCTAGTGAATATTCATACTTCCGTAGACACCTAAAATAACTAAGTTACTAAACAAACACAACGTAAATAAGGATCCTAACTAAGATGAACGCGCCCAAAATATTACAAACGGCCTATTATTAAATCTTTATAAAGATCGTTTAGAAAGATTAAAACATATTGTATTTATCCTCGTCACATATATATAATTTTATAAAAAAAGGGAAATTAATAATAAATAAATAATTTAATATTATAATATGTAAGAGGGGGGAGGGGAGCGTTAAAATAAGAAATGAATAAAAAGAGCCTGCTTAACCAAGCCAAGAGTCTATTACTTCTATTCTTTTCTTCGATTCTGAGTTCCTTGCTCTGTCATTCAGTTGTATGTTAAGAACTGTCATTTCCATCCTTTTTTGATATTTTGCAATCGCGTCACTGTTGTTAGTTACTGTACCAGCTGTCCTCCAGTTTTTTGATAAAATCGTGTGTTGCTTTAGTCAGTTTTCCCGTTCATGTTGACTGTTTATTCATTTGCTGCAGCCGAGAAACATATTCTATTTTAAAATAAGTAAGTATAAGAGTAACTTTTTTATATCAATGGGTGATAAACGAGCACACAGTCCACCTGATGGTAAGTGGATGCTGTGGCCTATAGACGTCCATATTTATCCTCAATTAAGAACAAAATGCAAATGCGTTATCAACGCTGAGGCCTAAGATAGAATGCCTCGATTCTAGTAAAAAGGGTCTCCGGTTCTCTACACTCATTAGAAACACAGTAGCATTTCGCTGCTATTTTACGCTATTCTGTGAGCCCAAGATGTGACCTGGATTATGTGAATGGATAAGTCAGTGAGTGACAAAAATGACACTTTTCAGACCTTTAAACTATCTATAAACATAATAGGCTTAAGAATTACCTGCAATTGCAAAATGAACTAACACAAGACACAGTCTGTTCATTTTGCCATAAACAATAATTAAAAATCAGAAGGTACTCCAGGTTTAACAATGACATCGGGACGTCAGTCATCTCAGTCCCCCGTGACCATGGGTGCTTGAAATCACCCATAACGTCGGGAATTAAAAATAATTAAAATTAAACGCGATAAAATCCGTAAAAGTCGGTTTAATCAATTACCTTTGTGATACTAGATATCCACGAGTTTTATTGAACTAACGAAATAGCAAGTATGTAGGTCTCATAGTTTGAATTAGTTATGAATGAGCTCAAAAGTAGTTTAAAGTGGGTCGTGTAAATATACACACTGCGGATACACCGCCATTTTCTTTTTCAAGTTTGGCTGACATAATGCCGTAATTAAATAGAAGTAAAAGGACGAGAATTGAGTACTTATACTGACAGTATTTGATTAAAATAGTTTACGTTGTGTATTTATGTTGCAAATTCAAACAGCTTACTTATTTTTTTTAAATTATAATAAAATATAAAAATCAAATAATTGTATTAAAACGTGGAATAAATTCACCATTAAGTGTTTGCAAGTATTCAAAGTACTTAAAAAACAGCCGCCCGTGTTGCTTTATGACTTGTGACATTCAAAAAGGAATTCAATTTCGTGTTGAAGCGAAGTCGATTTGTTCGCGCTTTGACAACTTGGAAATTGAAAATCGAACGATAAAGCCAAACATTCTTAAATTAATTTAAGAGAAGATCATTCCACATTAATAACATTTATACTTTGTCATAGTTCCGTGACCACAAATACTAATTTTGTATTATGCACATCAATAATATGCCAAGTGGTGGTAGCGTAAAAAAGTCACCATGCCATTTCGTTCCAGGGCTATCGTAAGAAGTGACATTAGAAAATGTCAAAAACTCTTACAGCTTCCGATAAATGGCAGTATCCCGAATTTTTTATAAGAACGACAAGCGAGCACACAGGCTAACTGATGGTGAGTGAATACCCCATAGATAACTACTTCTACCCCGATAACACGATAGAACTTTGAAATCAGTAAATGACGTCTCTGGTTCTATACACTCATCATGCAAACAACAATAAATAAATACAGCAGCGTTAAGCTGCTATTTTACGTTGGTATTTTATGAAAATATAGTCGTTACAACCTTTTCGATTTGCATATGTAATAAAGCATTACCTTAATATATAAAAATTACGTGTCACGTTGTTTGTCCACGATGGACTCCTAAACTACTTAACCAATTTTAATCAAATTTGCACACCGAGTGCAGATTGGTCTAACTTGAGAGATAGGAGAGTTTTTTCAACCATGAGTGACCCGCATTTTTTTTGCGAATTTAGGGATTTTTAATAGGACATGACAAAGGGTCATCGAAAAGGCCAGACCAACGTCAGTCTGGCAAGATAGTATATTATATAATGCAACTTGGCTCTTCCGCGTTAATAATCTATCTGATTTACGTAGATATCAAAATTGCAAGACTATACGTGAATGAATGAATGAATGAATGAATGAATGAATGAATGAATATACTTTTATTGTACACCACAAACAAATATACAGTTAACAAAACACAAAAAAGATTATAATATTATGTAAGTACAATTTGGCGGCCTTATCGCTACATAGCGATCTCTTCCAGGCAACCAAAGGTGTAAGGATTAGAACAGTGAGAACTAGGTAGGTGGTGCAATATAAATATACATAATATAATAGCGATTTATAGACAATACATGCAATAAAATAACATACAAATAACTAATACATGAAATTATATAAATTGCTAAAATATAATAAAAATAAAGTAAAACATATATAAATATAAATATACATACATATATATAAATATATAAACAAACTTACACATTTACTCAAATATAGATATATATATACATATACATAAAAAAATTCCTCAAACAATAATATAAAGCAGATAAATACAATAGATACATAATCACTTAATTTATTCTAACGGTGTTAAAACGACTGAGACAAGTAATGCTCATTCATTCATTCATTCATTCATTCATTCATTCATTCATATATATATATATATATATATATATATATATATATATATATATATTAATGTATATAATGTATAAAGAAGAATATATTTGATTTAGTTCACTTCCATATACTGTATAGACTGTCATTTTTAAATCATATATACTTAACTGTATTTATAAATAACCGTTCCCCGCAACGTCGTCCGCGTGAAATTTTTTACGTTTGGATTTCATGGTTAGTTTTTTTTTTGCGAGAAACCCCAATTGTTTTCTAAAATGATAGTAGCCTAAATTACTTTTTATAACATCAGATATCAGCCAGTGAAAGCCCGCTAAAATCGGTGCAGCAATTTCGGGGATTAACCAGAACAGATAGACAGACATTTTTTTTTTAATTCTTATCTTCATATAATTACCGTATATACTTTCATATGAATTTTGTAAAAAAGATGTTATTTTGACATTACAAACAGACACTTCAGTTTTATTTTTTTTTTATTTATTAAGGAACAGCAAACAGCTACAAAATACAGTAATATCTAAAATACAATAACATGATGTATTCACAATAATGTAGCCCACAACGCTATCCACATATTACTTACAATGTTAATTAAATTGTCGCGGAAATATTATATAGATTAATATATATTTATCACATACTCGTACATACCCACGTTATTAAACGAGTTATTACGTTTGCAGTTGGTCCGGCTTACATCAAGGAAGCGTCGGCCCTGACGACCGCCACACTGATCGCGATCGTAGTTTCCGTCATTGTCTTCGTTCTGTTCTTGTGTCTCCTCTTCATCTTCTGCCGATGCAAGAGAACCGAGAAGAAGAAAAAAGATTACGAGATGGCTTCTATAGGGCACGGCATGTCTCTAACTTCGCCCAAAAATCAGGCGCCGCCGCCTTACATGGAGTATCCGAACGCCGGGATGGAGAACAAGGCTCTGGAACATTCGATGGAGCTGGCGATGGACGACTCGAAGAACGCCGTGTACGCGACTCAAACCGCGTACGGGTACCACATCGCGCCTCACGCCACACCCACGCACGTTGGACAAAATATGTCTAATATGGACTGTGAGTATACATACAAATTCATTTGTCGTTTTATAATTTTTATACAATACTATCAGTCTGCACAAACCATCAAAAAAAAAAAAATGATCGTTTTAAACACATTACAACAGCTGGAACCTTATTTGAAAAGTAAATATTTGACAGTAACTCGAAAAAAAAAATGAGTAAATGCTTCTGTATATCCTACATGACCATTATGTTCTGCCATTGATGGCTGGCCGTATGAGAAAGCTCAAAGTTATTCAGCGTGAGTTAGATAAAAAGGATATGCTCGGAATTTTTCTGCAGAATAAAATACATGTGTATATTCGATATCCGCGTAGAACTATAATAACTGACACTGTCCAGTGGATCGGTTAGCTTAAGTGGTAAAGGGCGGACCATATAACTCAGTCTTTCTCAATGTGGGCGATAACGCCCCTTGTGGGCGTTGAAGACCTAGAGCGGGGTATTAGGGGCCCAGAAAAATATGGGGAGCGTTGGCGTATTTCAGGGGGACGATGGTTGATTTGTAATTTCATTTAGATACTTTATATTTTAAAATTTACTAAAATTAAACCCTACCTACTACTAAATATCGAATAATTAGTTTATATTTCTGCCCTGTATGATGGTAAATAAACTAGAAATAATTAATATAGATTTCGTAGGATAGCCCGTACGCCGTACACAATCAAGTACTCGATGACATAACCTCAAAGAAAGTAGTTTTAGATAGCGGTTGTATGGTGAGCGATTTGCCGCAGTTAGATGCGTAAAACTTGTACAAATCCATTTTTGTTTTCCAATCAGTTTGCAAATATTTTTTGGAAGATGAAGCTCGTCAATGATGGGATTCCATTGTTATCCATATTATTCCATATTTGCTTGTTTGCGAGGGTTAACCCTATTTTTAACAACTTTTAAGTTTTCTAGGAATGCAAGTATTGTTTCATTCTATCTTTCCAAGCAATTACAGTCATTCTTGCAATTCTCAAAGTATTTAAATACATGGTTTTCCATACTCTTCCATAATTTCATCAGCTGTTTTTAAATTATACTTAAATGGCTCTGCTCTTCGAGAATTATTAGACACCTTTCGATTCTTTTTATGCCAATAATATATAAGTCAATGTCCCTTTGCCGTTTTTTTTAAACTCACTGAACAGTATCATAAACAAAAAATTTTCTCCCCTATCTATATTTTTTCCAAAATTGGTTGAATATTTCGATTCTATCTTCATCTCTCTACCATGCCACATTTAATTATGCCTGTTTTGTTGCTACATATGCATTTTTCCTTTAAACGCTTGAGTTTCCCTAAAATTTCATAGACTCGTTAAGATTTTTTTATTTTGCCATAATATTGTGAACCTTTCCGCGCAATTTTTTATTTTTTCTGCAAACCAGGTATTTTTATTTACTTAAGATCGTCTTTTTCTGAATTTACTCTTCTTAGACAAGGAAGTATCGCTATAATTTTCTGAACTTGATGAGTACGGAACTAATTCAGGATGGCCTAAATTATCAATGAAATTGGATAAATAAATCACAGTTTTCTATATAAATATCATTAAAATTTTGATCGATGATGAATCGTAAACCATAACATTATCATTAATTTCTAAAGAATTTATATTGCTAATTACGTTTTCTTTTTCACTAGATAAGTGTAATGCAGTAAAAAGAAAGGAACATCAACTATTTGATTCTGTGCATTTTCTAACATTGAACGTTATTGGCGAGTAATGTTCAATGTTATCTTCCAACGGTGTATCTAGATTCAGTAGGGTAGTCTATAGTATTAAGAACATTGTTTAATGTGTTAGTGTATGTACTATTTTGATCAGAATAATGGTATTTCCTTTATTAGGCAATAATTCTTGTGGGATAGTAAGAAAATCGCTATGTTGTTCTGTACTGAGAACTAAACTAATAAGCTTCTATCCCTATCTGAAGCAATCTGTGGATAAAAAAAAATCCGCCACACCAAGCAAAGCACATAAATAATTGCTTCGTGCGAGAATTGAACACAAAACCTAAGGACTTAAATATTGTAGCGTAACTACTGTGTTGTCGAACACCTAACCAGGTTTTTTAATTTTAAAATATAGCGTTAAAATACCGAAACCAAAATTAAACTTACGTAAAAATAAAAACATCCAAATTAAACAGTTTGTGTAGTTGATTTGATGATTATGCGTTATTTTTTGCTCTATCGTTTAATACCAAATAGACAATTTAGCCAAAAATGGAATTAGCAATGTAGAATATTTAGCCGAGGATATTTAGCTGAGTGTATTTAGCTGTGATCATACTAATTTACAATTGTCAACAGGGGTGAACACAGGGTATATGGACAAAGGCTACGCGAACAGCAATAACGGCGGCAGCGGCAACTCGCAAGACTCTCTGTGGCAGATGAAAATGGCGGCCGCCAACAATACGGGCATGATGATGATGGACAGAACCAGTAACTACGGCTACGACCCCATGCACGCCGGCTACGGCACCATCGACGACTACGCGGCCTACCAGCCGCTCCCGCACGCGGGCCACGCCGCCCACAACGCCCACCCCACGCATGGGAGCCACGTGCCCAACACTGATTACATGCGCACCTCGCAGAACCCCTCTAGACAGGACTACTGTTCCGATTCCTATGCATCTGTGCATAAGCCCAAGAAACGCATGGATCAGCATACTGGTGAGTTAAAAAAATATAATTTTCTACTTAACTAGAAACTATTTTTGATGTAAAATAATGATTAATGTGGAAAGTGGGATTGAAGATTTAAAATGTTGTGTATTGCACGGTTTTGCTATGTTTACCAGCCAACAGATAGGCTCCAGCATCTGAGGTATGAACAATCATTATGTCCATCATGTGCTACATCCATTGTTCATTACAGCCTTTGACTGCCTCGTTGGTCATAAGATCCCGGGTTCGAGTTTTTCCGTTCGTCTTCCGTATAATTTTAAGTTAGTAAGTTGGCGGTGACACCCCGTGCCTCGGAAAGCACGTAAAGCCGTTGGTCCTGAGCCGAATCTCTCTCTGGTCGTGTCGGTTTACCTTCCCACCGATTTATAAGAGTGAAGGAATAAAAACTGCACTTGTGCTTGCGCGTACACTTGAGCACTATAATCTTGTACTGCGTCGATGACTAGCTTGAAACTGACCACCGAGACCGAAATTCGGTCTGGAGGTCTTTAACCTTTCACAAGTCAACTGCTGAACATAGGCCTCCCCCAAGGAATGCCACAGAGCACGGTCCTGAGTTACCTGCATCCATCGATCTCCTGCATGTCTTACCAAGTCGTCACTCCATCTAGTGGGGAACCGTCCTCCACTTCACCTACCGAAGCTGCTCGAGAACCTTTCTTCACGACCGGGTGAGGCAGTACCACCGATACGTGGTAGAGCCATGCTGCAGTTATATTAGAAGTATAGTTGTAGCACAAATGGTTTGCCTCGACCGGGGAAGGACCACGCTCTCACAGAATACCAGCGTAAAATAGTAGCTTATGCTGCTGTGTTTCGTATGGTGAGTGAGAGTAAGGTGAGGTGAGGAAACAAGGCATTCCATCTTAGTCCTCAGGGGTGACAACGCATCTGCATTTTGATTCGTAATCGAGGCTACCCTATATCACTATCCTATGTAGATGTCTATGGGCCCCAGCAACCACTTACCATCAGGTGGACTGTGTGCTCGTTTGTCACCCTATCCTATAATAAAAAAACTACTCGCAATGCAATTAATCCGCCCGCCAAGCATGACTATTAAAGAAAATTTTCTCTACAAGATTTATACGTACTATGCTTGTAATTTATGAACTCAATGTATCACTCCTTACATTTTCATCGTCTCTGATATAAGACGCAATAAATTACGCTTTTGCAGCCCCGCCTGTGCATAAAAACTCTATTACCTTTTTTTACTTAATGCGGTTTGCAAATGCATGAGGTTACTGCAAGAAAATTATTTTCTATTTAGTAATAAGTACGTGCTTGTTGCGAACAAAAGTGGGGCGGAGTATAAACCTAAAAATTTGTTTGTATGTGATGTTGAATTTATATCAATGAAATATCATTCCGTGGGTGTCATACGAGGCAACTGAGGGATACAAACCAGAAGATGGGAAGCAGCGTCCTCCTAATAAAAATAAAATAAAAAATTGCGGAAACCCGCACGCGAAGCATAGCAACTATGGCAAACATAGGTGTCTATGTTCAGCAGTGGACTCTTAATAGGATGTTACATTAATAGCAACTGAGGGAATCAAACCAGAGGATGAGCAGCAGCGTCCTCCTAATAAGGAAAAAACAGTGGTTGCCGACCCGCCTGGTAAGCGTGGCAACAATGGCAAATATTTATCAGCAGTGGACTTTTAATAGGATGTAACGTTAATGGAGATTTAGCTAATTTGAAATTCTAATGTATAAAAATAGCTAAAATCCATATTGAGGATATCCTCTGAAGAGTAAAAGTAACTGACAAAGCCCAGCGGATCAGTTAGGTGTAGTAGGTAGCAATAAGCCGGCCATATAGCTCAAAGAACCCACAACCGATGGGGAATGCAATGCAGGTATTTCTCCCACTAAATGAAGTGGTGACCTAGTAAGGGCATGCTTCTTCTTGCAATCCCTGTGGGAGGCTTGTAGTCCGATTAGTGATGTATAAATAGAAAAGAAACAAAAAAACTTACAAATAATCAAAATAATAGCATAAAGATATACGTTTATTATTATACATATGTAAAACATATGAAATTAATATAATTATTAATAAAATAATTGACGAAGTAGCTTTGTATATCAGAATCTCCAACCCGATTGAAAAGTCGGAGTTAAACGAGTACAGATGAGACAATAATACACGTGCTACTATGCTTTAAAAATGAGTCATACTCAGAAAGTAAAGAAAATTAATTACTTCGAAACCGATTGTATAACCTATAAGTAACGAATAAAGAGAACTACTCATTTGTAATTTAATTGAGACTTGTTAATAAATAAAACGAAAAAAATAGTCATTGAATATAAAGATTTAATCATTAGTTAAATCGATTTTTAATCTCTTATAATTTGTTATGTTACGTTACAACCTCGTTACAGTAAAGAAAGCTTGTTTTTAAATTCAAATGAATACTAATAAACTAATATAATATTTAAAAATCTATCAACATAATTTTAAGGATATCTAGATTTTTTTTTTTGTTAAAAAACTTAAAATATAATTTAGATAAAATAATTAAATAGTAATAGTATATATCAATAAAATTGAAATAAAGGAAATTAATATTTCTAGAATAGTTTTAATAGTGATTAAAATACAAAAATAAAAATTTATATTTTATAGAAGTAAGGGTGACAAATTAGCAGTCCACCATATAACAATACATATAATCTATGTGGTCATTTCTCTTTTGCGGCAGTGAGTCGTCCTCCCCGTGCAGACATGGGAGAGATGACTGACAGAAGGTTTCTAGGACAGCCTTGGCGAGAGACCAGATTACACATGTTCTACGTCTAGCAAAATTAACTAGTTTTCTGTAACTAATTGCATAACTTATTATACGATGTTTAGTGTACGAAGGAAAACATTCTTGTATTAATACGATACCTTACTTTGTATGTGTGGATAATATTATGACGGTGTCATCGTATTGACTTGTTAATGAATATTATCATCCTAACAGTAAATCAAAAGTCCTTTGCTGAACAGCCTCCCCATAGATTTTCTCGTAAATTGAATAGTATTCACGTTTGGAAAGGCGGTTAGCAACCGTAGTTTTTCATATTTTGAATACGTATTAGAAAGATGCCATCACCTGTAGAACATAATACAATAGAATAGAATAGAATAATTTTTTATTCAATATAGATTACAAGTAATTCTTATTGAAAGTCAATTTTTACTTTACCACTGGTTCGAAAAAAACCTCGGTCCTGGGAAGAACCAGAAAGAAACCCATTAAAAAAAAACAAGTTTACAATGTCTATAGTCACAAAATATTGTTTACCTTTGACATCTCTCATGACAATTACATGATAATATAAGTTAGTGGATATTGTTGTATGGCTACGCCGTGACGTGTTGAAGATGGCTTATGAGTGAGAACATCACTCCACTCCATGCTTTCCTGCTTTAAATTCCTTTTTTAGTCGCTATCAAAGTGTTTACTTTCATATGTTTAGTGATTACTGTGTTTCTTTCTTACTTTTTTTTAACGTTTATTTTAGTATTTAAATAATTTTGTGAACCGTTTCCGACACAATATATGCAATTAGAACGGTAAAAACAAACCGTTTGATAGTATACCTACCTATAAATATTCCATAAAATTACTTGTTATCATAAGAATGGTTAAAGAAATATTTTTTTACGAGTAAGTCTTGTAAAAACATGGTAATAAAAATGTTTTCCACGAGATACGAAGCCTCATATATAAAAATCGTTGGCATACGTAGCAAGTAAACGAAACCTTTATGGAAAGGAAATAAAAGATGTTGATGTAGGGCAATCTTCATAAATATCGGTATGTAATTTTATATGCAATGAAAAACATAATTCTCTTCTTTTTGTTTTCAATATAATTAGGGCGGAGCAAAACGTAGCCTTCTTACCCATGACCCCAATGCAATGTTTTATTTTTTTAACCACATAAACTAAGTTCGATTTCAATGAAACAGCACAAATAATTTATAGTACGCCACAGGTCTACATGGTGTGACGGCCCAATATTATTATAATAAATTCAATATAAAGGGATATCAAAAGTAGTCTTAAAATATGTATATTAAGCAATAAAATTACATTAATAAACATAAAGTTAATATAAATATATTTCAGACATAAGACCAATAACATAGTAAATTAAAGGCAAAATATTGTCTTCCATAATAAATAAATTTATTAAAAACTTGAAAAAATATTTAAAATAAGATAAATAATAGAAATACAAGTCGAAAATATTATAAAAATAAAGATAAATAACATTTATAAGATAATTAGAAAATTTGTTAAAAATTGTTTGCTAAAAAGTCTTGGAAGGAGTTCATGTATAAAAGAAAATTTTCCTAAGTTATGGAAGTTGTTCATGTATAGATGTCTTGTATGGAGGAGCTGTCGGAGATACATACCTGCAGTTGTACATATATATGGGGTGGTCGGGAGCCCGACTGCCTGAAGTACTGTAGCACAATGACTAGTCCTATATTAGTGACTTATGATATTAAACTCAATGATACAAAAGCAATACTATAGAAGGTCTCTATGATGAATATGCATTACAATAGTAGGGTCGTGGGTTCGAACCCTATATATTAATGACTTATGAAAGTAAGGTCTATGATACAAAAGCAATACTATAGAACTCTCTATGATGATTATGTATTACAATAGTAGGGTTGTGGGTTCGAACCCTATATATGAATGACTTATGGAAGTAAGGTCTATGACAAAAGCATTATTATTGAAGGTCTCCTTGATGCATAAGCATTGTATGGGATGGTCGGGTGACCGACTGCTCCTAGTACTGTAGCAAAATGACTAGTCCTTATTAGGAACTTGAAAAGGAATATTATGGTGGCGTGTGTGCTGCTTCACGAGCAATTGGTCCGAGGTAAACTTGGACTCCTAGACATATCATCTTAGTGCCGGTGGTAAGCGGGTTTGTTGTAGCAATACGGCTTTCCCGTGGACATCGCATACCCATACCGTTTGTGGGCAACGTAGTAG